GCAAACTTGCTGACAGCGCTCTCTAATCTCTTGTCCAGGTCCCACATCCAGTTATATCTGAATGGCCCTGCCTGCAGCACAGGAGTCTGACAAAAGTTGTACAAGATGCACTGAGGGTGCTGGATGTAGGGTCCCCTCCTCATCTGAGGGTGGTTATTGCAGCCAGGCACTCCTTAACACCTGATCTGGCAACATCACTTATCTTATGAGCTCCTGCCTGTCAACTACAGTGTGCACCAAGCAGGTGGGAGTTGGTTTTGCGCCCTCTTTCATGCAAGATGTTGGGAAAGGGTGGATTCAAGGTCTTATTTTGGCCAACCGAGACAGTTTGGCTCACAGACTTGATTCAAGGTTATCAGAAATGCCATAAAACACCTTGCTTAATTAAATTCCAGTTGCCAAGTCACCTGGAAAATTCACATCAAACCATTGAATAAGGGGCGGGGAGGGAGCAGGAGGAGTTTAGGCAGTATCATAACTTCACCCATGACCTTGCAAAAGACCTCTGGAAAAACACAGGTCCTTGGCTCCACCCCTGGAAAACTTTCCCCTAAACCCTATTCGAGAAATCTAACAACTCTGCCTTCCTGGAGATCGTATATAAACCACCCTAGGTCACAGCCTGTTTCAAACTGTAGCAGAGGCATTTGAAAGTCCTCTACCACTTTGGGGCTGCGAGCAGAGTCCTCTGAATAAAAATATTTATGTGCCACTCTTTCACACGGTAGGTTGGTTTCTATATATGTACTGTTAAGTTATATAAATATTTAAGCTAGGGGAGGGGGGTTGTGCAAAAGAGTCTTTTCAGTAACTTTTCTGCCTGAGCTGGGACAGATGTGGTCATGCTCTGCAGAGGACTGTAATAACTCACTTGTGGTTCACTTTTCTCAGTTTTCAGCTTGCTGGTCACCACATTCATAGAATAGAATCACAGAATCATAGAACAATTCAGGTTGGAAAAGACCCTTGGGATCATCGAGTTCAACCAAGTAATCCTAATCCTAATTTCCCAATCCAGCGCTAGTAAAGAGATAAAAGGACACGTGTCTGGGGTCAGAGAAAGGGTATATCTAGCTCAATATTCTGAATCCAATGGAAATTAATAGAAGAGGGTCAGGGGAAAGAATGAGGAAAGAAAAATGTACAAGGTGACTTTTTAAACCTTCAGTAGTCCTCATCTCAGACACTTCCCCAGCCAAAGGTAGGGCTTGTGTTTTAGAGGCCATGGCAGCTTTCTCACCCATGAATCCTTTTAGCTACTTGTCCTGCCTGCCTCATTTAAAATGCTACTTGTTTTACAACAACACCTCTGTCGAATGTCTAGCAATGAAAATGGAAATATCAGTGCTAGTCCAAAGCCTGCGGTGCACCCGAAAGAAGATAAAGCACCCTGCGTCGCTGCCAGCATCACAGGAAATTTTTCAGCAGTTTTCTCCAAAAAGAAAGGTCTTGCTGACTGCTGAAAATCGTGTCAACACCTGAGAAAGACGAAATAGGACCTATTTCTGTTCAAGAAATAGAAATTCCTGCACCAGCGCCTTTTACTGCACAGAAAAAACCATCAGCAAAACTCAAGTCGTGAGTCATTTTCTGCCCCTCAGTATCTGCATTGCTACAGCAGCAGCAAGAGTGCTGGTGAGATAGAGACGTCACCCCTCGTGCTTGCTGCTGCCATCTGCTTAGCTCCTTCTTGATCTGTATCTGTGTGTCTGCAAGTTCATTTTCTGGGGTTGGACACCCTGAAAATGCAAGCTGAGCAGCAGGACACGCGTTTCCCGATGTCGGCTGAGAGCCAGGACCCCAAGCTGGACCACTTCAGATTAAACATCTGACTTAACTTTAGGGGAGTGACGGAAGAGCTGTGTATCTGCATGAACTTGGATGGGGTTAGAGATACGTAAGAAGCACAGCCTCGCTGTCATTTCCCTTCCAAATGCCCCCTGAGGCTAAAACCCAGCTCAGCATCGCAGGTGGCTGAGCAGCGTGTGTGCCCAGCTGCAGGTCCTCTGCTGTGGGAAGGTCCTCAGAGCAGATGATGTTTTGGAACAGGGGCTTCCAGCCCCTGGGTTGCTTCAAGGCTTATTTCCTTCAGTGCCAATGCAAAAGCTGAGCTCTTGGCCAACACAGGTAGGTTGGAAAAGGCGGCTTTGTCTCAACACCGTGCCTCAGTTCCAAGAAAACTTTGGGGTGTGAGCTGATTAGACGTGGTGTGGGTTTGGATCCCTCCCTCAGATGGGCTAAATTCTCCCACTGCTGCATCCTCTAGGCACCTGAAACCTATTTTAGATTTCACCCTTATTCCCCTGTTGATATTTCCACATCCAGGAGGACAGAATTTGTCCTCTTCTTGGTCTCTCCTAGCCCCCTCCTCTGCCAGCTGTGTCCGACAAGCACAAAAAATGACTCCAGGTCATGATGAGCTTTCTCCAGTTTGAACGTACCTCTGTGTTTGCCCCCAGGTGAGCAAGAGCCCTTCACTTGAAATCCTCCCCGCGATGCTGCGGCTGCTGCTGCGGCTGCAAATCTCAGCCAGCTGCCTCTGGCTCGGACGCAGCGAGGTGGTGACATCCTTTGAAAGTTCATGCCCTCAGTTTTTCTTTCGGGAAACTCCCCCAAATGAAGCCCTGGAGCCAGAGAACCCAGCCTGGATCTGCCAGCATTACAAGAACCAGTATTACTTTGCCACCCTGTATGACAGGGACAAGCGTATTCCCGTGTACTCTGCTTACCTCTACCAGCCTGGACCTGGCAAGAGACCTAAAACGTGGCTCGTGGAGCCTCAGGTGAGTGTCCTGTCTCATCCTCCGGTCATTAAGAGATGAACTGAAGTATTAAACCAAGCACTTTTTTTTCTTTTCTTTTTTTCCTTTTCTTTTTTTCCTCCCACCTCCACACACATGCAAATGGCCCCACTGGTTGGGATTCATCTCATCTAACTTCAAACACCTTCACCACACGATTCCACTGATGCTTCTGAGACAGCAGCAGGAGGATGAGATGAGTCATGTCCTAGAAGTGTCCATTTTCTCCACATTGACCTTACAGGAACTTTCAGTCAAATTACATTACATTAATTTACATTACATTAAGCCAAATGACCCCCTCTCCCTATCCTGTGGTGGGAAAACCAAACAACGGAGGAAAAAAACCCCATCCAACAGCAGCTGAATGTGCAGGACCAACTGTGCTGGGCTGTGATTGCTACTTCGCCCTGAGCTGTTTTGCATTCCTGACGTAGCTTATTTGCTGCCAGTTAAGAGTCAATTTGGCTTTGCAGGTGGTGTGAGGGAAGCGCGGAGAAACTTAGACCTGGGTGAGATGAGCCGGTGAAGAAGTGTAGGTACAGGCACTCAGCAATGAGGAGGTTAGGCTAACAACGGGTGAATTTATTGAGTGGTATTTCAGGCGGTGAGAAGTGAGTGGGATCACAGAATCACAGAATCGGTGTCAGTCCAGGCAGAAGTGCGTGATCTCCCTACCCCTGCAGCTGCCCCTTACCACCATCACCTCAGGCTTGGTTCAGAAGGATCCACCAGACACACAGAGGTCTCCCAAATGTCCTGACAAACTTCAGACCTTCAGTAAAAGAGACCGAGCAAATTATGGAATGGAAGCAGAGAAAATTCAGGTCATTGCTAGGGACACAGTAACAGTAGGGGATTTAGGTGAAAATGAGCCACAGAAGAAATCCATATGCCCTGTGCCAGAGGAGGGCTAAATATGTTTCCCTAAATATGAAAAGAAAGGTGTTACAGTTACGAAAAAAATCGTTTGCACTTGTTACTCATAGGAACTCAGGCAAGTAATCTGGTGTTGCATCACTGCAGCCTCCACATTTAGAGGGGATAAAAACTTCCCTCTCTTCCTCTGAGGCCATCTGTGAAATCTGTCATTTTGCTAACTCTCTTCAGAGGTCTTTCTACAGCATTTAGGTTCCCTGCATCTCTTTGGGGATTATGAGCTCCTTTAAGAGACTGGTCATTCCTACTTATTTTCAGTGGTGCGCAAGTTCTTCTGCTCATCTTCTTCCCCTCCTGTCCACCTTCAAGGACTCCCTAAGATACTCAGCCTTCAGAGAGGATATCTGTGTGCTTGTTTTCCCTAAGCTTGTAAAAATCTAGGGTGTTGGCAGATTGGGTTAAAAAAAGCCATGAAGACCCTTCATAAAGACTGAGAGAGCTCTTGTGGAAATGGGGCTGAGCAGAGCAAAGGCCAGAGCTGATGAGAGCGTGATTAGGTGCTGGAGATGAAGGTTGGGTGGGATTAACGGGGGTGGGAGGAACTGAGGAGAGCCCTGGGCAGATGTGGGATGTGGAGAACGGAGGAAAGGAAACCAGATGTGGCAGGCAAGATATCTCATCAAAGTCACCTTTCAAACCTGGGAGTGGAAAGTGCTCGTCTTCTCATGCGTCCACCCACACTCCCATCGCAGGCTGGATTTCAAAAGTCACAAGTCAAATCAAGAGCAGTCAGATTCTGAGCTGCTTTTTTTTTTTTTTTAATCTCTTGTGTTTGTTGGGGAGGGGCAGCTTTATGTTATCTCTCCGATTCAGGCATTTTCATACACAGAGATGACAAAAAATGGGTGCTCAGCGCTCAGAGACTTCTGCTCAAGGGAAACCTGCTCCATTACCCTATCCCTGATACTAATTCCTTTTCTTTTTCTTTACCTGTGAAGCTGATGGGTTCAGTGTATCCCAAGACTATGGAAAGAGAGTGGACCCTTTTAAATTATTTCAACGTCAGCTTAGAGCAACTCAGCAAGAGCCAGGCTATCCTCCGAGACTACAAGAACCTGACGGGTTTGAACCGCGGCCATTTGAACCCCAGCAGCCATCACAACGACTCCAGCAGCAGAGTAGCTACTTTCACCCTCACCAACATAGTGCCCCAAGATGAGAAACTCAACAGCGGTGCCTGGAAGAACTATGAGCAGCAAACGATGATGAAGATGACCCAGGGCTGTAACAACACCTACGTCATCGTGGGTGCCGTGCCTGGGAACAACTATATTGCCAAGGGGAAGGTTAACAAACCCAGCCACATCTGGTCAGGTGCCTGCTGCGAGGTGGACACCAACCACAGGAAGGCTTGGGCGGTCATTGCTGAGAACGACAAGAACCAGGCCCAGCTCCTCACGCTGGGGGAGCTGGAGGATGTGTTGACTGATCTCTATGGGAGGGACCAAGTTTCTCTGTTTGACAGCGACTGTCCCCGGGAATAAGCCCCACTTCACATCACAGGTGTAAAAGATTTGGGAGCTTTCACCACGAGTCCTGTGAAGCATCCATCCTGTTTCCTTCTCTAGCCGTTTTCCAGCTCTGTCTCTCAGAGCACCTTCTCTGATTAAAGGGAGAAAGAGGTCAGCAGAGCCTTGAGCTGGTTTGCACTGCTGCCCACCCTTGGAGGGAGCTCTCAGGGAAGAATCCTCGCCCTGGCCACCCTGGAGGGGCAGGATGGATAACAGCCTATGGGCAAGGACATCAGAGCTTCTCAGTGAGTCTAGAGGGCTTTGCCTTGATTTTTCCCTTTTTCTCCATGTCCATGTACAGATTGTAGTTTCTTCCTGTCCTCGTTAGATAGCTCTGATAACGTGTTGCTGACTTGTCCCTCACCTCCTCAGGAAAGAGGTGGGTCTAGGATGGCCCAGGTTTTCCAGAGGGGTTGTGGAGTCTCCATTGCTGGAGATACTCCAAACCCAACTGGACACAGTCCTGCAAAGCCTGCTGACCATGCTTGAGCTGGGGTCTACATTAGAGGATCTCAAAAGGTCCCTCCCAACCTCAACGATTCAGTGACTCTGTGATTCATCCTGGGACAAGGAAAGCAAAGAGCTCAGGGACTGCTGAGAGTCTGTAAGGGTTGTCCTACCAATGCTTTCTCATCAGTAGAGCCAATGATGACAGAAAAGAATAAACGGTCTCAGGAAGGTGGAAAGAAGGAAGACAACTGAGCATAGGAGGAATACTTCAGCTTTCTTGAAATCTGTAAATAAATAAGGAGGAGGGAAGTAACCTACATTAATTGATAGGCTCCCTATCCCTGAACTTACCTGAAGACCATGCTTACTGGTAATTTACTAGCAGGTTTTTGTTTGCTTGCTTTTGGACCACATATGAGAGCAGGAGCTGAGGCATCAGCCAGCCAGGCTCAGGGATCAGATATACAGCAGGTTTGACCAGTCAAAGCTGAACTTCTGTGATATACTGGTTGGATAATCCCATTCTGTGCTCTGCTTCTGGACCTCTTCTGCAGATTTATGCATAACTGATTTTGTGAAATGTATTCAATGGATGTAAAAGATCAATGTATGCCGTGTAATTTAGTTCCTGAGTAGTTTGCAATATAAATTATTTGCCCCAGTGCTGGACCATAAGGTCAACTTCTATATAAACCGGAACTTGCTTCCCCCTGATATTTCCACTGCTAGTAATGCTCTAGTACCTACGGCATCCTTGCAGGAGGTAGGTTGTCCAAATCCTTTCTGAAGATGCCATAACACCTACAGAAGTGTCACCATCAGATGAATGTGCATGAACAAAGTGGATCATGATGCAAATGGCTCATACAAACTGTCTCACTTGCAGAGATACCAGCTTGAGCCTGAATTTTTCAGCTCGGGAGCTGTTCATCAGTCTGCTGGGTCTCATGATCACCCAGACAAACCCCTTTGGAGGCTGTGCAGAAACGTGGGGTGGGGTTCAGGTGCAGGGTCAGGCACCTACATGCAGGGCTCTCCCTGTGTTCTGGGTGTCTGAGCTCTGGTTGCAGCCAGCAAAGATCCAGGTGTGGCTCAGCTGCATAAATTGAGGCATCCTGAGCCACTTGAGATGCCCTGATGTACGCAAGACATTGAGTGGGGCTGGCTGATCTGCTGCAGGATCCTAGGGGACACCAGCACCCATCTGGACCAGCAGCCACAGGCCAGGCAAGTTCCCAAAGGGCATCTCCAGTGGCTCTGGACACCAGAACGCAGGTAACCAGATCCCAACACAGACCACCGGGCAATGCCTGGTAGCATCACAGTCCTGCTCCTGTCATCTTGAGCTGTGTTGCTCAGTGAGGTAGGAGAATATTTTGCTCCTCAGGAGGACAAGACAGGAACTTCACTCACACCCCTCTTTGCTGGATGGCTCCTGTAGTCCCAGGTCCCCCACTCCAATGGATTTTTGCTTCTCTGACACACATGGGGTGAAACCAGCAGTGCTACTTCAGGTTGAGAGACTTCTACAGACACCTCTGGAGTTGCTCATGGGGCTTTCTCTGGCTTGCTCAGCCGCATCCTGAGGCCTGCTGGGGATTGAAACTGCACTCATCTTCACCATTGCCTGTCCTATGGCCTCCTATCCCCACTTTCCAGGCTCTGCTGGAATACTCCATGCCTCAGTGACCCCATGAGTCACTCCTCTATCAGCTCCCAGGGCTCTCCCCAGAATCTTTTTCCCTGGCAGCACCCAGAAATTTTCTCCTCTCCATGGCAAGCATTTAAAATACATGGGAAGCCAAAAACATAAGTGCATCAGCTTGGAGGCTGCCTTCCAGCAGATATCAGGGGTGCTTCACACAGCACCCCAGCTCGAAGCTGAGCAGAGAGCTGCCCTAACCCCATGGTCTCCAGCTCCAGGAGCATCCTCCCAGGCAGCTTACATTGTGATTTTCTCCAGGTTCTCCTAGCCCTGGCTTTGAATGGAGAACAGGAATACAGCCCTTTGGTGAGCCCAGAGCTGGTCTGTGCATCATGGGCATGCCCCTGGGCAGGGTGACCACTGGGAAGGTACAGCCACACTGAGATGGAAAGGTAATTTCACAGTTTATTCTGTGTCCATCCATCTTTGGGGAGAGCTCTGGGCACTAGGGAGTCACTGGGTTTTTAGACATAAAGGAAAAAAAATATTTTGTGCAGGAGGGGATGCTGGGAGTTAAACCCCATTATCCCTGCAGGTCATTGGAGTGCTCTGAACAGGCATGCAGCTTACAGAACGACCCACTGTCTAAGATCACTTCACTGCAAAGGGCTGGATCATGCAGTTCTCTTAGTCCTTTCCCAGAAACACAAGTGGTTCAATCTCCTTGAATTGAACAGCACATTGCTACAGAAAAAGAAGGAAACGGGAAAATCAAGAGAGTGGCATCGTCTAGCTTCTGTGTCCAGTTCTGGGCCCCTCAGGTCAAGAAGGACAGGGAGCTGCTTCCAAGAGTCCAGCGCAGCCACAGAGATGATGGAGGGAGTGGAACATCTGCCTTGTGAGGAAAGGCTGAAGGAGCTGGGGCTCTTTAGCTTGGAGAAGAGGAGACAGAGGAGTGACCTCATTCATGTTTACAAATATGTCAAAGGGGAGTGTCAGGAGGACGCAGCCAGGCTCTTCTCAGGGATGTCCAATGACAGGACAAGGGGCAATGGGTACAAGCTGGAACATAGGAGGTTCCACAAAAATATTAGAAAAAACTTTTTCCCTGTGAGGGTGACAGAGTCCTGGCACAGGCTGCCCAGGGAGGTTGTGGAGTCTCCTTCTCTGGAGACATTCAAACCCCACCTGGACACATTCCTGTGTGACCTACTGTAGGTGATCCTGCTCTGGCAGGGGGGCTGGACTAGATGATCTTTTGAGGTCCCTTCCAACCCTGAACATTCTGTGATTCTGTGATTCTGCCTGAGAAAGCAGCTGGACAAAACTCCTTCGATGCATCCAGATATTGAGCAGCTGTAACATTTCAGAAGAGTAAATACAATATCTTTATTTGTAAAGCTCTTCAGGAGCATCTCTGGCTGCTATGCAAGGAAGGCAGAGTAGAAGCACCATACAGGGGCTTTGCCATCTACTGGGCAAGGAAGATGCCATCTCTGTCTGTTGGGTTGGACACGCTGAAGCGATTGCATTTGCCTACCTCTTTCATATAGGCAGCAAATGTACATGTTCTGCATGAAATGCATGATGTTTGTGGGACCATCAAACTGATCTCCTAGCTGGTTGTTCAAGAGGAGTGCACATCTCTTAATCTGATTCTGCAGAGATGAGCTTTTTCCTGCAAAATGAGGCTCAAAACCATAGAAGTTGTTTCCTGAGTCTCACAGGAGGTGCCACTGGGAATTTCCTGCCTTCAATTAAATGTAGGTCTATAAAAAGGAAAAAAAAAATCGTTCCCCTAACCTAACTACTTTACCTTGCTGGGAGCTATTGAAAGAGAGGAATGTTCAGTTTATTGAAGAAAAAAACAACATCTCTATTTTCACATGTTATGCATCGTTGTTGCAAGGTCACAAATAATCTGGAAAGCGTGAAGACTTCAAAAACAATTCTCCTTCTTCATCCAAACATCTGAAATATTATTGCTGGCCAGCTAAAGGAAGAAATAATGAATTGCGGATCTTTGTATCTCTATAGCTTCTTCTCCGTGGTCTTTAGTGCCTTTTCTTGATTTAAAGGTGTCATGGTTTAACCCCAATCAGCATCTAAGCCCCCCCCAGCCACTCGTTCACTCGCCTCTGTGGTGGGACAAGGAAGAGAATTGGAAGAGTAAAAGTGAAAAAACTCATGGGCTGAGATAAATACGGTTTAATAAGCAAAGGCCATAGATGCAGCTTTATATGCTGAGCATGATGTCACATGGTCTGGGATATCCCTTTGGTCAGTTGGGGTCAGCTGTCCTGGCTGTGTCCCCTCCCAGCTCCTTGTGCACCGCCAGGTACTCACTCATGGGGTGAGGACCAGAAAAAATAAAAAATAATCACAGCACGAATATAAAACACAGTCCCATACCAGTTACTGTGAAAAAAAATCTCTAACCCAGCCCAAACCTGCACAAAGGGCTAACATCATGCTTGGCAACACTAGATCAAAAGCCAGTGTGGGATAAAGAGAAGGGCCCTTAATGTATGAAGTAAAGACAGCAGAAAAGCCCATTGAGAGGTTATAAAAGGGGAATGGCACCATCAAAACAACTGGGTCACGGAACATAGCACAGAGGTAGCAGGTGAGTAGAAGGGGAAAAGGAAAACTACTGCCAGACCAGCAGAAGGTCTGGAGGAACCCCTCAGCAGGGAGGAAAACGGAGATCTCAGATCCATTAAACTGGGGAAGAGAGTTAACGCTGAGTTAGCACTGAGTTAACACTACAGGTGGTGAAAGGCTTTGTGCTTTGTTTGTACCAACTTTATACAACTCTCGGGATGTTTGCTGGGAATATTTCCTTTCCACATGCCAGAATGCTAACAGTGAGATTACT